CATAGCTCTGTATATGATGCATATGTTTTTTTTTAAGATTTATTTATTTATGTAACAGAGAGAAAAAGAGAACACAAGTAGGCAGGGAGGCAGGCAGAGAGAGGGGGAAGCAGGCTCCACACTGAGCAGAGAGCCCGATGTGGGGCTTGATCCCAGGACCCTGGGATTGTGACCTGAGCCCAAGGCAGAGGCTTAACCCACTGAGCCACCCAGGTGCCCTGATACATGTGGTTTAAATGTCTATATATACATATGTGTTTCTGTAGAGTTACATATATATATGCACATGCATATGTGTGTGTAAGTTCAACCTTACTAGTACATGTTTGATGACCTTCCTAATTCTCCTTTGGTTTCAACAACAGCTGCAACAAACAACAAATTCAATGCCCCCAACATCACTCTAGAGACTAGGTACTTGTTTTTAATCTATGAATATAGAACCCCATTCTTCCTATAAAGGGCCACAAAACTATGATGCCTGTGATAATTCTACGTGTTAACCTGACTGGCCACAAGGTGTGCAAATTAAATGTTATTTCTTTCCAGTTTTTTTTTTTTTTAATTATTTATTTGAGAGAATGAGTGAGCACGCACCAGCAGGGGAGGGGCAGATGGAAAGGAAGAGAGAGAGAATCTTGAAGCTGCCTCCCTGCTGAGCACAGAGCCCAATGCCGGGCTCGATCTCCTGATCCTGAGCTGAATCAAGAGTTGGCCACCCACCCAGCTGAGCCACCCGGGAGCCCCTTAGGCATGCATGACTTTCTTAAAGCACTCTGACTTCTGTAATGCCACCGCTAAAGCAGAGTCTTAAATACTGGCCACTTCTGTAGCCTGAAAAAAAATAACCTTAAGCCCTCATTTTCAGTAGTAAGGTCAGCTTGTAACATATCAGCATGTCAAATTTCAGGGTGTCTCTTTGAGGTGGCCACAATATCCAACCCCACCCGTTTCACTGAGAGGAAGAGCAGGTCATCCTCGGAGCTAGCAGCAGACTTCAAGTTGGAGCCCTGTCTGCGGACTCCAGCCCTTCTGTGCACTAGACCTTGTTACAGACAAACCCCGCTCCTCCCAACAAACAACGAAGAGTGGCCATTTATCAAGTGTTGACAACACTGCCGGGCATGCTGTGGAGTTAAAGATATTCATCTCAACCTTCACAGCAACCCTAGGAGGTAGGATTTATTGATGGCACCATCCCCTATGTGAGGAAATGGGAGGCTCAGAGATATTAAATTACTTTCCTAAGATCACACAGCTCGTGTACAGAGCTCAAAATAGGAATCTGAGGTCATCTGACCCAAAGTCTATGTTCTTAACCCTTTACAACATATTCCCTGGATCTTCTGATTCTCGTTGCAAAAGCATTCCATTTAAGCAAACTTCAGTTATGCAGCTGGTAAGAGGTGGCAGATCCTCTCCCTGCTTTCAAAGAATTTCTAATTTAGGCAGGAAGGTGGGGGTGGGGGACACCCGAGAAACTGGGAAGTAACAAAAACAGATTGTACATAATCATACACAGGTACACAAAGTGCCATCTAATTCAGCCAACACTTAATGAACTATTCCGTGCTACACTGCCCCACACTCACCCTGCCACCATCCATTCTAAACATGTCAGGTGATGGTTCCTGAACACACCAGAGTGCCTCCTGACCCTTAGTTTCCATATATGTGACTCTTCTGCTTGTCAGATCCTTACCACCAATGGCCTCTTCACCAACTTTGACTTCTTCTTTAAAATACAAAGTAAGTGTCATTCTCTTTGTTCCTTCTATAATCTATTGTCTACATCTCTACAAAGTGGTCAGCATGATTTTTTAAAAAGATGATCTGAACCTTGTCACAATCCTGCTTAAGACTCTTCTGAGGCTTCCTAGGATTCTTTTTTTTTTTTTTTTTTTTAAGCAGGCTTCATGCCCAGCATGGAGCCCAGCACAGGACTCCATCTCACGACCCTGAGATCAAGATCTGAGCTGAGATCAAGAGTAGGATGCTTAACTGACTGAGCCACCCAGGCACGCCCTTCCTATGACTCTTAATGAAAAACAGCAACAAAACCATCAAGTGTCTCCCCTTCACTATCTTACTTCAAGCAACCTCTCCAAACTCCTGTCCAACCATTCTTCTCCTCCCCCATGACAATCTGACCACACTGGCCTCCCATCTGTCTTGCAAGGATGCCACACTCTCTCCTACCTCGAGGACTTTGCAAAGGCTCTTCCTGACACCTGGAATGACTCTGTATGCCCAGCTCTTTTTCAACCATGAGGTCTCCCCTTATAGGTTGCCTTCAAGAAAGTCCTTCTACTTCCTTTTCCAAATAGCCCTCTTCCCCACCATCTGTAGCTATATAACCTTTTGCTTTATATTATACTTAGTAGTTGTCCTCATCTTTAAATCATTTCATTACTTTTTATTTAATTTTCTTTTTTAAAAAGATGTTATTTATCTGAGAGAGAGAGAACAAGCAGGGGGAACGGCAGGCAGAGGGAGAGGGAGAAGCAGGCTCCTGCTGAACAAGGAACCCAATGAGGGGCTTGATCCCAGGACCCCGGGATCATGACCTTGGCTGAACGCAGCCACTTAACCGACTGAGTCACCCAGGTGCCCCTAATTATTTTTCTTTTGCTCTGCGATCTTATAGATCATTCAATGCTGGGACCCTGGTGACAAATATAATGCCTGGCACATTATAGGCTCCCGATTGTCTAGAACCCCCTCTGACACTCATGCTGACACTAAAAACTCCTACACAGACAGATGATGTCGCATCATGAACATTTTCACTGAGCTCCTCCTCAGTGCCAAGCACTGTGCCATAATATAAAAGCAAATAATAGACAAGGTCCTTGAACTCAAGACTCTCATGGTATAGAATAACCAAGAAAATAACTCAGAATAATTATTACTCGAAGCATTAGTAAATACTAACAGAAGAGTTAAGCAGGCCTCTGCATGCAAGAGATGGTGCCTTGGGACAGGAGACACAGGTGTGGTTGGGGAAGTAGACATGTAAGCATTTACCATTGCCTTACATTTTATCATTATTTGCTTCTTTGTCCTTCTTCCCAACTAAAAGGTATACTCACGATGGCAGAGACTTTGCTTTCCGTTGCTTTATCAGCACCTAGAACCACGTCCAGCACATAGCTGGGCTCAATAAACGTTCACTGACTAGCTCACGGACCGAACGAATCCTGCACGATGAGAAGGAACCATCAGCTAAAGATCTGGGAGGAGATCACTCTCCTTCCTTCCCAGGAAGCAGCTAACATGTATGCTTGGTACGAACGTGCTTGCTGTGTTTGAGGAGAGGCCAAAAGGCCAGCCAGGGGACTGAAGGCAGTGATCCGGGGAGAGAGCACAGAGTAGCCAGAACCTGGAGGGCCCTCTTGGCCCTGGTAAGGAGTTTGGGGTTTCTAGATTTTATTCTAAATGTAAAATGGAGGCAAAGTGCTTGATGACTAGTTTGAGTAAATAAGTACAGAATGGGGCACGAGAGGGGAGTGCCTCCTGGGACGGCTAGAATAATAAGGATGAGCTTCGTGGCAGGGTCACTCGGAGTTGACCCAGACTAAGGAGGAGCAGAGGACAGAGAAGCTCTCATGGGAGTCCACATCTTCACAAGGCAAGAGCCCTTCTATGACACACAAGGGCAAATGAAGAGCTCAGATTGTCCTGATTATTTGGCTTTGTTTCATATCAGAAGGACGTGATACTGGACATGCAGTTCAATACAACATATACAGATGACAGAGCCTAGAAATGTTTTATTTATATAAAAGTTCATGGAAGGTGGTATCATTTTATTTGTCTATCCTTCTCCCTCAATCTGTCACTCAAATGGTCAATTACTTACTTCATCATTAAATAATTACTATTTGCACATCTACTTTCTGGTAATTGAGAAAGGTGAGAGAGACAGACAATCATGGAATTTAGAATCTAACAGATAACCTCCCCAAATCGCTCATGTTGGGAAAATTCTGAGACAGGACAGTGCAGTTGCAAATTCTTACAAACATCCAGTCCTGAGTTCACATCCTCGATTAGCTGTGTGCTATCATATACTTTAAGGCAAGTCATGAAACCTCTCTGCCCTTGCTTTCTCCTCTACAAAATGGGAATATTAATTTTGCCCTCCAAAGATGATCACGGGGCTAAAATGAGTCTAACAGACAGAAAGGGCCAAGCAATGCCTAGCCCGTGCCCATAGTCAAAGATTAGTTTCCAGTCAACCTTTCTGAACAAACCTATGTACCAAAAGGGGCTCCAAGTCTGCAACCTTACTGCCTGGTTTCTTCCTAACTCATGAGTCTTTCCAGCTTGTCATGTGAATGCAACGGAAGGGAAAAGCTGAGAATTGGCTCCAAATGCTTCAATGCTTTAGCTCCAACCTGGCCAGGCTCCCTCACACAGATCTCTCTGCAGACAGAAAAGGAAATCCTGAGGCAGGAGAGGTATTCAAGAATACCCGCCTGGAGAATGTCTCGGCTCAACTTGCAGAGCAGACCAGGAGTCTAGTAAACCCTGGCCGCCTTTGTTGTAGGCAAAGACCCAATGTGAATCCTCAGGAAGGGAGTCTGCAGTGGGGGGTGAAAAGTGAAGCTCTGGAGCCACACTGACCAGGTCAGACTCTACAAGGGTGATGGCCCAGAGGCATCAGTTTGGGTTCCTTAACCCGACTCTATGGTCAGAGCATCCACTGGCCACCAACTTCATGGTGTGGTTGTGGTTGGGAGTTTGAAAATGAGAGAGTGGACATTAAGTATAGAGAACAAGCCTTTGTCTATGGTAAGTGTTCAACACACAGAATCTAGGTGAACTTTTTAAAGGAAGAATCCTTGAAAATATGAAAGAAAACCCCCAAATAAATGTACCATTCTGGCCACCACCGCGCTTGGAAAGACAGGCCAAACAGTAGCCTTGTTGTGTTTCTAGAAGCCAATTCAAAAGGGGTAATAAGAATTTACTGAAGTGGCTTAAGCTGAAGCCACCTGAATATTCTGGGTCTAAAACTTCATAAGGCACAAGCTTAAAAAAATCCCGGGTCTTCCTTCTTGCCCCATAGTGATTGCGTTTAGCACACTGGGATGTGATGGCCCACCTTCACCTCCCAGATACCATCATGAGGAACCTGTTTTGCTGTTTGTCAGTCAGAGCTGGTCTATACCAGTCCTGACTACCTGAAATGCAACCATTTACGAAAGAGCGCTGTTGGTCCAAACAACTTAAAAACTAGTCCTAAGAGCTTCTGGTCCTACATGCACATGTAAGACATGCTTGTTTTAAGTAAAAAACAATCCCAAATAGTTTTCAGGGAGGGTCAGTCTTGTACTGAGCACTGACCATGTACCAAACATTCCACACATGCTGATCCCAGCAACGATGGAAACAGCAAAGCACCTGGAAACGGTCTTATAGTCCTCTCTTGCCCACCTGTCTCATTCTCCACAGCTGATCCCACAATCACTACATGTCCTCCAAAATACAACTCGAGTCCCTTCTTTTTCTAAACAACAACAACAACAACCCCCCCTCATTTCTACCACCTTATCCATATCAAGAGATTAAACCTCCTTGTGGGGCGCCTGGGTGGCTCAGTGGGTTAAAGCCTCTGCCTTCAGCTCAGGTCATGATCTCGGGAGTCCTGGGATCGAGCCCCACATCGGGCTCTCTGCTCAGCAGGGAGCCTGCTTCCTCCTCTCTCTCTGCCTGCCTCTCTGACTACTTGTAATCTCTGTCTGTCAAATAAATAAATAAAATCTTAAAAAAATTTTTTTTTAAACCTCCTTGTGACTCAGTTTCCTCATCTATAAAATTAGAATACCCTCTACCTCTTAGGATTGCCATAAATGGAGCCCTATATTTTAAGTGCTTAAAACACCATCAATACGAGTGCGGATCACTATATTTATTGTTACTGTTCTGTTGTTGCAATGGCTTCTAAAGCTGTCTCTACCTGTTTCCACACTAATTTTTTTTATGCAGCCTCCAAAGTGATCTTTACAAAATAAATGTCAGCTCACATCACTCCCTGGTTTAAAACTCCTGTAGTTTCCCAACATATTTAGAGAACAGCCTCCAGAATCCATGGCTCTCAGTACAACCACCATTCCATCAGTGCACTGTGCTTAGCTATTGTCCCCCTCCTTTCTAGTTACGTCAGTGTGCCAACACTGTTCTCCCCTGAGACACTGCTCCAGCTGGTCCCTCTCCTGGAATGTCCATCTCCTAGACCTTTCATGACTGGGGTCTCATCATGCAGGTCTCAAATCAAAGGTCACGACCTCAGGCCTGATCATCTGACACTTCCTTTATGCCACTCCCTGTCCCCAGTTACTATCTGAAGGCTCTTTAAAACATTCTCTTTATAGCACTTACCACTATTCAAGTGAAGATAAGAGATGCATTTTGTTTTACCACAGTGTTGTTGTTCTGCTATTATCAATATTTTTTTTAGACTTTTTAAAAATTTATTTGACAGAGAGAGATCACAAGTAGGCAGAGAGGCAGGCAGAGAGAGAGGGGGAAGCAGGCTCCCTGCTGAGCAGAGAGCCCGATGTGGGGCTCCATCCCAGGACTCTGGGATAATGACCTGAGCTGAAGGCAGAGGCTTTAACCCACTGAGCTACCCAGGCACCCCATTATCAATATTTTAATTGAATGCCTTAGGTAAGGCATCTCTTCCCATTTCCACAGGTTCTCTCCTTCCCGTTGTCTAATGTGGGTTCTACACAGAGTCACATAATCCACCCAGCCCGGGGAGGCATCTGTGTTTTTCACTCTGCAGGGGGTAGAAATATCAAAAACACAAATACAAAAGCGTGTTCCAAAATATTAGGTAGAAAGAGATCATCTGAAAGACTCAAAATAAACTTATATTATCTTTTAAAGACTGTCATTAAGATGAGACCCAAAATTAAAAAGTTCAGGAGAGAAAATGGTGGACTCCTGGGACCCACCCAAGGATCCTCGTCTGAGAATCTGTAGGAGTCTTCTCTTCTGAAATAAGAAGGCCCTTCCCTCCTTAGTGTCTGAGTCAGAGATTTCCTGAGTCAGGACTAGCCTCTGACATTGCTTAATGGGAGAAAAGCCATATTTATAGCTAATGAATAAAATATTAGCCGACTCTGCTAAGTACTGACAGAGACCCAGCGCTAATTACTGTCCTGGGACTAACCTGCTTTGCTCACACAAGTAGGGGCTGCTCATTCTAGAAGGATGCCAGCCAGCGTGGTTTGCGTGAAAGAGTGATGACAAAGAAGAATCTCCAAAGAGTCATTGCACTGTTGGGAACTAACAAGATATTTATTCCAGAGATAACAAGGGATGGAGAGGTCAAGGGTTGAGGACACCAAGACTCACCGAGCATCTTCTGTATACTGCATGCTTTATGCAATTTATCTCATTTCGTCTTCATGACAGTCAAGGAAGTACTATTGTGTCCACTTCACAGATGTGTATATCAATGCTCTGAGTGGTCATAGGTGTAGAGGAGGGGTCTGGCTCTATGGGAGTCGGACTCCAGACCTGTACTGGTGGCAGGACACAATGCTGCTTCTCATATTTAATACAGGATGTGAAGAGGTTCAAAGGTGAAAGTGGCTACTGTAATGCACTGAGTTTCTGACAAGATGATTAAAAACATATATCCATAAAAATATGGCAAAAACATAAAACATATTTGGGGAATAGTGGTTGAAAATGATGACAGTTTTATTTAACAGAATGCAGTCCCTAGATGTTTTAAGAACCGCCAGGTAAGGAAGGGTAAAGACCCTGTCTACTCAACCAATGAGCAGATCTTGGACAGATGGCTGGGAGTCTGGGGTAGGGACATCAGTTTTTGGTTCCAGTTCAATTGGGACGTTTGAATCGATAAAACAAATGCATGTGTGCCTGTAAGTGTGCATGTGTGCCCTGCTATATTCTCAGTGTACATAAGAGGCCTTGACATATAGTACATTGTCAGTAAATACACGTTGAATGCATATCTGATGAATTGTTGAACATTGCCTCTGAAACTAATGATATACTGTGTGTTGGCTAATTGAATTTAAATAAAATATATATATATATATATATATATATATATATATATATATATATATATATATGTGTGTGTTGATAAAATCTGCCCCAACAGGACAAATACGTCACTTGTTTAAGCTAACTCATCATTATAAGCTACGGGTCCAACTCCTCAGCATGGTACCTAATTAACTTTAGGATCCAACCTCATATCTCTTATTGTTCAGGGAATGAGCTCCTCCTCCAAGGATTTTAGAAGAGATTAAGGTTCTGATCATGGATTCCTGCCTTTAGAGGGGTTATAGGAAGCTAAGCAAGCTTTATGGAACACTTTCCAGATGCTCAGTTGCGCACTCGACCCTTTACAATCATTGTTGCATTTAACATCACCACGACTGTATGAGTTAGGTCCTATCAGCCTCCCATTTTACGTAAGTAGAAACTAAGGTTTGCAGAGGTTAAGGCATTTGCCCAAGGTTACATAGGTGTGAAGTGGTAGGGCTCAGATGAAAAACCCCAGACTTGTTAATAATTGCCAAGTCCCCCTCCAGTAATGAGACCCGATATATTCTGTTTCTAATCTGGTATCTGTACTGAAGATTAATACCATGAACACGGGAGATGTTCTTTCCAAACAAGCACTGGTTTCCATGGAAGTTGTTTCTAAGGCTGCTTAGCATCATGGCATTTACTCGCTTAAACTACATCATGCAAGCTCATGGTCCTAACTACTCAGCATGGCACCTAATTAACATTAGGCTCCAACCTTCTCTCTTATTCTTCCACATCAGAATACTTCGTGTCTGTTTGTCCTCCACTTTCTTACTACTGCCTTCCTTTCGGTCATGGTCTATCTCTGCGCTGAACATCCACTGGTCCATCCATCATCCATTAACCAATGATAAGTCAGGAATGTGGTTCTTTCTGGGAACCATGTCCTTCCCTCACCTACTGTACAGTTTCACAAAAGGGAATAAGTAAAACTACTAATTCAGACCCATCACACAGAAGACATCTGAAGATCTTTCATCCTCCATGAAGCCACCCCTAAGTATCCCGGGTCCCTCTTGGTCTGTTTTGCTTTGCACTCTGACAACACTACGGTCTGTATCAAATCTGAGGTACAACGAACCTCATTTCCAATGACGGTTAGGTTCTAGAGCCAGTGTGAAATGACACAATAGTCCAACTGCCCTTCCACAACCCTTAGGAAGAAGCTGTCACATTGGAGACTTGTCACTGTTTCCCAATACTTGCTTGTCAAGCAATTTTGTCCTCCATGTGGAGACAGACGGCTGTCTTTGAGTAAAGGGCCAGAGAACAAGTCAGCTTAGTTCAGAGCCAAATGGTAGGAAGAATACCCATCTAGTCATACACTACAGCCGCAGCACACAAATAGTCATGCTGAGAGGCTCACAGAATGTGTGTCCTGACGGAACCGAGACTGGCTCAGAGCACAGCAGAATTACACTGTCTACTCAAACTGTCACCCTGGGGGGCCCAGGCTCATTGAGTGAACAGTGCAAATCATTGTCTTAGCTGTCTAAATTTTCTCTTTCACACAAATGCACATAGCATGTGGCTTCAGTGACCCACGCTGTGCTGTCATTTTATTCTTCTGAATGGGCAACTAAACTAGGAGATCCTGGGACACATGAACCATGCCCAACACCACACGGTCAGTCCCTTGAGGAACAAGATTATCGTATCTAGTCCTTGGTAGACAAGAACCTCCAAGATTTGGTTCCTGTCTTCCTCCGTGATAGCTTTTATCGCCATTCATACTACCCTTTCCACACGAAGTCTACTTAGCTATTTCTGATTTTCCCTGTTGGGACCTGCTTCCTTACACCTCCCGCCTCTGCCTACAGCACCCCTCCCTATGTCACCCAGCACGTGTCTATCCTTGGTACTCCCTGTAAATGTTTCCTTCCTGGATCCCTGCGCCCGTATAGGTAAAGGTTTGGCATCCTCCCACTCCAAAGCTGGGCCATGTGACTTGCTTTAACCAATAGGATGTTAGCAAACGTGACATGGCAGAGTTGAAAAAGTGTTTGTGCAATGGGGATTGTCTTGCTTGTCAGCTGTGGCTGAAGATCGTTCCTCAGGTAACTTGCTGGAGGGTGAGACAGCTGTTGCTGAGTCATGTTGCCCCCCTTGTGCCAGCCAAGGCAACCCTAGATCAGCTGATTACAGGCTGATCCTCCTACACATAAGAAACCTGGGTCCATATCAGCAAAACTGCTTGGGTAGTCTGCAACATTCTAGCAATACCAGCAGAGCTCAGCCCAGCAGACCCCACACTCCTGCTGTGTGCTATTGATATTTTGTTGCTTATTATGTGGTATGATTGTAGTAAAAGATAACAGATACATTTTCTATCAACACTTCACTGGCCTGTCCAAGGACAGGTGATCACTCCCCTATTTGCGCAACCTCTAAATCTTACACTTTCCTCTATTAGAAAACTAAATACACTCTACTATTACAAAAATTTAGTAAATAATAGGATTATTTGTTTTTATGCTTACTTCTTTGAAAGCTGACCTTCTTGAGAAGAGGAATATCTTTGTGAGGGAAGGGACATGATACAATCAAAACAGTTTGGGCATACCTGTTAGTACAGTCATTACAGAAAGGAGAAGAGAGGTTCCATTAAGAATTGAACTGTCACATGACCCAGCACTCCTGGGTACGTATCTGAGGAAAATGAAATCAGCATCTCAAAGAGAGACCATTACGCTCATGTTAATATGGCAGCATTATTCACAAGAGCCAAGATATGGAAACAACCTAAGCGCCCGTCAACAGATGAATGAATAAAGAAGATGTGAAGTGTATATACAATAGAAAGTTATTTAGCCACAAGAAAGAAGAAAATCCTGCCATCTGTGACAACATGGGTGGACCTTGGGGGCATTACGCTAAGTGAGATAAGTCAGACAGAGAAAAACAATTACTGTATGGTATCACTTATACACAAAATCTAAAAAACCAAACTTTATAAAAACAGAGTAAATCATAGTTACCAGGAGCTGAGGGGTGAGTGAACTGGAGAGATATTGTTTAAGTAGTAGTAGATAAGTAAGTTCTGGAGATCCAATGTACAAAGAGTGATTATGGTAAAAAATATAATGTATTATAAAATTTAAGTTTGCTAAGAGATTAGATCTTAACTGTTCTCAACACAAAAAAGAAATGAGAATTATGTGAGGTGATCAAGGGGTTAGCTAACACTACCGTAGTAATCATACTGTGATTTGTAAATGCAACAAAATAACACCTTGTATACCTCAAACTTACACAATCTTATGTTTCCCTTACAGTCAATAGAAAAAAATGGTTTAGGGATACTTGGGTTGGAATCATGGTTCTGCAGGTGGCCAGACTTTCTGAGCGCAAGTGTCTGTAGTTACAAAATAAGGACAGCCGCAGCAACTTTCCAGCCTTGAGAAAAGGAAGTAAGAAAATGTGTAAAAAGTAGCCAGTTCAATGCATGACACATCAAAGGGCTCAAGAGATAGTATTTGGTTGAGTGAATTAACGGACTGATGGTTCCATGGCAAAATTCTCAGAACAAGTACAGCAAAAACAGAAGGTCCTTTGTCCCATTATCAAGTTCTAATGTCACACCAGTTGCCCACGGCATTCTGTAGCCTCTAATTCGATTTATTACTATGGAAGCTGATGTTTCAATTTACCCAACCCTGCTGTATAATAAATAAAAGTACCTCAGAGGACCATCTTTGCAACTTAATGTCAGCACAGCAGTTAAATGGAGTTTATTTAATCTATCCTCTAAAACAAAAGTTGCAGTTTGTTGCTTATAAATCTGTTCTTCCTGCAACCCTTTTGAGATACCCAGACACCTGGCTTGGGCTTTTTGCCTGCTCCCAGGCTGGCTAAGCAGCCTGTCAATGCTCCACGCGCTGTGCTCCCCCACGACAAATAAACAGGTACTCACCTCTCTGGAGGCAGGCAACCCTCTTCCACAGCTGCTGCAAGAGCAAGAGGTAGAGTGAAAAGGGGGGTGTAGGCGGCAGCCTTTGTTTGTGCAATGCCCTGACCCCAGAGACAGAATGAGGAGTGATGACTCACTGGTGCTCCCCACCCCGGCACCTAGGGGACCCTCCATCCTTCCCACAGTGCCGTGCTCACCCACACCTTATGGTGCTTCTTTATGAAGACGATCTTGAGCTTTCGGATTAGACTTTGACCTTCTGGAGCATCAGAACTGGTGTGGGGGTTCTCTCTTTAACTCTTGTGTCTATCACAGGGTCCAGGGCAAGGAGAGCATTAGCTGCTCAACACAAGCTTCCCATAATGATAACTGATAACCGTGCATTTACTGAGTGCTTCCTGGTGTGCCCAGCACTGTTTAAACCCTGTCTGTGACTCATCTCATTTATCCTCACAAAAATCCTGAGACAGGAGTGTTACTCTCATCCCCATTTTACAGATAAGGACAATGAGGCTCAGTAAGTAACATGTGCAAACTTAAATAGCTAGTGTCGGGGGGCTGGGATTTATAAAGGCCATTTTATGACAGAAGACTTGGTGCTTTGTTCTATGTTCTCTGACAACCTTCTTCACTTTCAGAAAGAGGGTTTGAGGTCTGAATTATTTAATGTTTATAAAAATCATACTTAGTCTTCTCTGTTAGGGAGGTGTCCAAACTATTATTCAAGTGTACTTATAAGAGAACTCTTTCATTTTCTTTTCTTTTTCTTCTCTTCTTCTTTTTTTTTTTTTTTTTTAAGCCAGGTAAAGAACTTCATGAACCTTGTTTCAAACTTCCCAGGCTTCTTCAGTTTAATGAGCTGCAAAGAATGAATAGTGTCTAAGCAAAAACTGGAAAGTGCTGCTGTGTCCAAGGGGCTGAGCTTAAAAATACTAGAGATCTAGAGTCCACCAGATCCGTGAACAAAATTTTAAAAAGCAGTCATCATATAAAACAGCAGCTCCAGTCACCTCTTCAAGTTCCATCTTCTTCAGAAATTGACTCAATTCTGTTTGCTTCACTCTTGGAAGCTTTGTCAAAATTCTCCACAAGATCTGGAACTTCTTCCTCTTCCTCCTCATCCCCCTCCTCCTCTCCGGTAGCAAGTGGTGTGGTCCCATCCATGCATTGTGTGGCCAGAGCTTCAGCCGGTCTTCTCTGACTAGTCGGACTCTCTGCACTAAGCTGGTTTAAGACACTGGGTAGCATTCCTGTCAGCTGCTTCCTCTCAGCATGGCCTGTGATGGTGAAAGCGTTCGCTGCCCCCGATGCCTGGACTTTCGGGTTGTGGGAAGGGATCATGGTTCCTTGGTTTGTGAACTTACTCACTTCTTCAATACCAGAGATATTGTTTACCCCTAACTTCTGTAAGGAAAACTAAGGTTTGGGTCCCTGGGTGGCTCAGTCGGTTAAGCATCTGCCTTCAGCTCAGATCATGATTCCAGGGTCCTGGGATTGAGTCTCTCATCGGGCTCCCTGTCCAGTAGAGAGTCTGCTTCTCCTTCTGCCCCTGCCCTGCCCCACTCATGCTCTCTCATGCTTTCTCTCTCTCAAATATATAAATAAAATCTTTAAACAAAAGAGAGAGAGAACTAAGGTTTTATCATCTGCTGTAGCCATTCTATGAGCCATCTTCTTCCAGCCAGCTGTTCCTTTTCTACCAATGCGCACCTGGGCTTGCAGTCTGGTGTGTTTCTCCTGGTTCATGATAGTTTCTCCTATCTTGGTGGAAATGGGACTAGAGTTGGCACTCAGGGGTCTCGGTCAAACCAACTGAGATTAGGTGCATGCACAAGGGGACGCAAGGTGGCAGCCAGGACTCTATTTCTTTACATAAAATTTCTTTTAGGATAAGACTATAGATGTTTTGCAGCAGTAGTTCTTCAAGTGTGGTCCCTGGACCAGAGAGCATCAGCATCCCCCTGGGGAAATTGTTAAAAAGGCAAATTCTTAGGCAGTCAATCCAGACCAAATAAATCAGAAACTCTGGGAATGGGGTCCTGAGATCTGTGCTTTGACAAGTCCTCTAGGTGATTCTGGTGCAGGCTGAAGCGTGAGAACCACCAAGTGAGTTCAAGAAATTTAACAAGCATGAGGTTGTTCGAAGTGGTCAAAAGAACAATGCAGGGGTGCCTGGGTGGCTCAGTGGGTTAAGCCTCTGCCTTCGGCTCAAGTCATGATCTCAGGGTCCTGGGATTGAGCCCCACATCGGGCTCTCTGCTCAGCAGGGAGCCTGCTTCCTCCTCTCTCTCTGCCTGCCTCTCTGCCTACTTGTGATCTCTGTCTGTCAAATAAATAAATAAAATCTTTAAAAAAAAAAAAAAGAACAATGCAAGACAGCCTTAGCTCTCTGAGCATACCATCCGCTGGCACTCGTGGCCCCCGTAAGATCAATGTTAGCATTTACATAGGACCCCAAAGTGTGTGCTCCCCTCATGTTTCATTAGAGCAAACATAAGCAAAGGCATTTGAAGTGTCCACAAGATCAGAGCACAGTGTGGGTGGAGAGGGAAGGAGAAGGTGTTCCTTTAAGTTGCAGAGGAAGACACAAAAAGAGCACAGAAAAAGAACTTGTAAGGAAGCTTTAGTTTCTGGAAAGGACCAGTGGGGGTGGGGGTGGGGGCCCTTCAACTAATTACTAAAGGCCAATCACAGAGACCTGAGGGACCCCCATTAAGATCACAGGTCAAGTTCACACTGCCTTTCCTCCCTTTCCACTCCCTCCCCTCTTGTACTGCACCAATTGTGTTGACAACACAGGCTTTGTAGGAAACACAAAAGCTGCCTGCTCCCTGCTCGACTACTTTTCTTTTTCTTCCTCTTGGACAGATTCCCAGTGATCAAATGCAATGCTCTCAGGGGAAGCAGGCTGGCCCGGGAGCGATAAGGGGCCAATTCCCGCAGATTTGTCATTTCACGGGCAAGCTGCCACAGCCTCTACGTGAAATAACCAGTGATGGATGTCCGGTCCCGTGGAAAAGCAGTTGGGCATTATCACCTGGGAGTTGACACGGAGAGGGAGGTAACAGTGGGGACACGGGCATTGGGGCCGTGACTTGCGCTGGCTGGCTGGTGCATTTCCATACCTTCTGTGTGGGTCTTAGAAATTGCAGCTGCCTGCCTCTGGAAGGCCTGGAGATTCACAACTGGGGGTTTCGGAGGCTTTGGGGGAGGAGGCCCCAGGGACTCGATGGAAGGCAGTGGTTTCGTTTTGAGAAGTTGTTGATGCTTATCAACAGACTGTTTCTCTGAGCCTGGATAAGAAAAAACAAAAAACAAAAACAAAAACATGTTATTACTATTTCCATTTTGTGGTTTCTCAGATGAAACTGACCAGTCCCTGCCTCAATCTCTCTCCCCTCTAACCTATTCTCCTCCTACTGGCCAAAGTGCCCTGATCAAAACACAAAGCTGATCATGTCACCAGTCTGCAGCCCAGAGGCTGAAGCCTGGCTTCCTTGGCATGACGTCCATGTATGTATGTACTCCAGCCTCTGGCATGTAAATATTATGTGACCCCAATCCACATTTCCAGATCCTTCTCTTACCACACTTGACCATCCTACTTTCCCAACCTTAAGCCCAAATATCTTTCACTCACACCAATGGCTTCTCAGTTCTCCAAATTGGATTTTAAAAGCCACTGTATATCTAAGACTTTGTTCATGCCCTTCTTGGTTCTGGAATGTTCCCTCACTTCTGTCTTAGACTCATTCTTTAAGGCCCTGCTCCAAAGACACCTCCTCTGGGAAGCTTTCATTCATTTCAAACTCAAGAAGAGAATTAATCATTCTGTTTGGTACCCCCATGACAATGTATCGTTAATACCTCTCTATCAGGGTTGTGGCATATTGGAGGGGTGAGTCCATCCTCCCATCGAGTGATGGCTGCCAGCATCAAGCACAGTGCCTACTTCCGAGGAAAGGGATGGTGACTATTCCCCGAAAGGATGCTTCAAGCACTGAGAACATACAAATTACATGGGGGATCTGAAGAGGAGGATGAGTTGATCTCTGGTTTCCAGGACTCAGAGCCTGGGACAAGCTTCAAGGCTAACTTTGAGGTACATGGCACATGTGGGTTTTGTGGTTTTGTGTCCTGGAATTTTCCAGGACAGTCTCAATTTCATACATTTCGTCCTTCTGTACTCAGAAGCTAAACTTCAACAGAAATTCCAATATTATATATGAAAATCGTATCTGCCTCTTACACGGAAAATAGCACAAAACCTTATATGATCCAAACGCCTTGATTTGGGATTCATATAATACTGAATGGACCATCCAGACCAAAAATAAAGATACTGGCCAGTGTTTTACAAGTTCCTCAGTTCAAATTCCTCAGAGCCCTGCTGCCCGCTGGGAGCCAGGATGGGGGAGAGAGGCAGGGAGGGAAGCTTCCTTCTTGACCCGCCAGCAGGGGTTACAGTAGTCAGGACCAAGCTCCTCTCTTCTTAGGCTTTAATTAGAAGTCTTGATGTCAGAAATTCCAGTCTTTGTCAAATTAAGGAGAAAATGTAGTGAAAATGAATGATCCCTTACTAATTTGGTTCCTAATTTTTTTTTTACCAGGTGCTGTGCCAAGAGATGGACATGGGTCATCTCATTTAATCCCCTCAACAGCTCTGTCAGGCAGGCAATCCATCCTTCTTTCCTTCCTCCCATTCACCCTTCTCTCCTATCCCTTTGTCAGTAGCAATTTATCTACTAAAGTCCAGGCGTTGTTCTAGAAGCTGAGTATAGAGTTAAGAACAAGAACAAACAAAAGAACGGATAGAGCCTTGCCCTCAGGAATGTTCATGCTAATAGCAGGAGACTGATGAGAAACATGGACAGAACAGGCTATAAGAAATAAAGTAGACTGCCCAAGTTCATTCATGTTGTGAGAATCGGAGCTAGGATTCAAACCCAAGCTTGCCCAAATTGCCTTTCAATAGAATTCCAGGAGAGTAAGCACTTTACCCAAACCTGCCCTGGCATTTGGAGCAAAATTCACCCAGATCATACACGACCATCAGCAAGCTCTAAATTAGAAAAATGTAGTGGCCCCTCCCCTGGGGCCACAGGGATTACATCTCACCTGGGGCCTGACTGGAAATTTCACTCTCATAGACAAACTGGCAGGAGCCTCTCACTAGGCTCTTCTCGGGAAGAGGGTTTTCTAGGCTTTTCCTGCCATGTTGAAAAAGTAGAAAAGCGGGATCTTCAGGAAAGGTAAGTGATTCTCTTTGAGCCACCAAATGCCTCTGGGAAGGCAAGGTCTGTGTTCCTTTTATTTCCAGCATTATCCTGGGCTCCTTTGGAGGAAGCCCTCTGCTTTTCTGCTCCTCCACGTGGCAGATCCTGCAAGCGCACCTGGCAAGGAGAGAGGCTGAAGACGACTCACTTTTCTGAGATGAAAACTTCTCCCAGTTCCAGAGCTTATCTTTGAAGCTATCATTCACTGTGACTCTCCTCTTGTTGGTTATCTCAGCATTTGATGGGGTCCTCTCTAACAGTGGAGGACTTTTCTGGGAATTTACTGCAGGACCAGGGGACATTTCCGGAGATCCTGGGGAATTCGAACATTTCTGAATCTCACTCCTCTGGGCCAGCTTTGTTTCCTGGTCTTTAAGAAGCTGGGAGTCAGCACTAGAACGTAGTGGGAGCGAACTGTGGTTGGATGAGAGGGGTTTCCCATTGGCCAAAATTCTTGTTGACTGTGTGTTTCCAATGTCACCCTTTTGAGAAACACCCGCTGAGAATTTAATAGGTCCTGGAGGCAATGGCATATCAAACTTTTGAAATTTGGCTCGAAGTTCCTTGAAGTTTCTTAACCCTTCCTAAAGCATCAGAGAAAACAAAACAAAAAAAAATGTCTTATTATTCTAGGAAAAAACCGGTGTGGTTAGCTGACATCATTGTGCATGTAAGGGGTTCTTGGCACAGGTACAACACATCCATCACTCACCCGGTAGGTGCTGTTGGCTGGTGATGCAATGGCCTATGTAAGATACAACAAAAATAAACACTTCCAAGATGTTTAACTTCTTCACAACATGTAACAAATACTTATAAAGGAGACAATATTGATCATTGCAGATAAATCCCTTGATACAAATTTTTGATGGTGACTTGTTGCCTACAAAAGTAAGTTCTACACAAGGAACAGCATGGAGGACATTAGGAGAAGGAAAGGAAAAGTGAAGTGAGGGAAATCAGAGGGGGAGACAAACCATGAGAGACTGTGGACTCCGAGAAACACACTGAGGGTTTTAGAGGGAAGGGGGGGTGGGGGAATGGGTGAGCCCAGTGATGGGTATTAAGTAGGGCACAGATTGCATGGAGCACTGGGTGTTATATGCAAACAATGAATCACAGAACACTACATCAAAAACTAATGATGTATTGTATGTGACTAACATACATTAATATACAATATTACACTATACACATATATATATTACAGTAATATACAATAATACACTGATACATTTTTTAAAATTTTGTTGTAACATAACAACAAAATTTTTTTTTTTAAAGATTTTTATTTACTTATTTGACACAGAGAGAAAGAGAGAGTGAGCACAAGCAGGGGGAGTGGCAGGCAGAGGGAGAGGAAGAAGCAGGCTCCCCAGTTAGCAGGGAACCCGATGTGGGGCTCAATCCCAGGACTCTGAGATCATGACCTGAGCTGAAGGCAAACGCTTAACCAACTGAGCCACCCAGGTGCCCCAACAACAGAATTTTTTTTTAAAATGTATAATATCTTTTAAAAAAAGTAAGTTCTAACCCTCTTAGTATAGCATTCAAAGTTCTTCATCATCTTGTGCAGTTCCGGTCTCCAACCACAGCCCAACACAACTACCCTTCAACCAAACAGGATTATTTACCATTTTCTAGAAATCTGTATTCTCCACCAACCTGACTTTGCTTAAGTGTTCTTACTTCACAAAATGCACCCTCTGTCTCCTTGTCGATTGGTTTCTTGCAACTTTGGTGCCTACCTTTCTCCATGCAGATTTTCCCGGGGGGTTGACAGGTAGAGCTAACTTCTCTGTTTCCTCATGCTTCCATAGCTCTATAGAACTTGGCTGTTGAATTTAACTTTGGAACTAGACAAATACTGACTCTGTTCTTTATCATCTAGGCAAATACTCTGGGAAATATGATAATACCTCTCAGTGTATTCTCATGATAAAAAGTTTTCAAGTAGTAGAAGGGTTAGGGCTAATATACGTGAAATGTCCATGACAATGCTAGTAAGCCCGTGATGAACTAGAGCTATTTTGAAGAGGCTAGCTGATCCTTTTTATTTTTGACTCCCCTTGGGAGAGTGTGTGCTCTACCTTCTAAATTTAGTATGAATTCAGTAATGGAAAACGGTGGTAGGAATAGCAGCCCAACCCTTGGGGCTGAGGAAGGATGTGCCCAGACTTACATGGGGAGTTGGTGGTCTGGGCAAGTAGGATTGTGCCTAACTCCTGCTCAGAGCTGTTCCTGCTGCTCCCCTTTTCTCTTACTAGGTCTGATTTAGTTTTGTAAGCACATTTTGTCATCTTTCGTCTCCCCAGGAGCTAGGAAGGCGTAGAGGTAAAGTGTGAGAGGACAGCTAATGGAACCATTTCGAAGAGAGCCACTGTCTTCTCCTGGTCGTCTTACAGGGCTGAGTTTCATGTAGACAAACAATCCACACCAGTCACTTCTCATTTTGTCATCTGAGGGAATGCCGGGTGACCTTTTCTCACTGTGTTTACAGTTGACTCACAGCTGCCTTCTGAAGATCCAGGGAGGGAGGGAAATTGAAGAAGCATGAGGCAGGTGTCTAGGAGCTTTCTTATATGCTCTCTCTCCCAGTCCACCCGCCTGCCCTCCCCACCTCAAACACACACACACACACACACACACACACACGCATTATAGTATTTTTCCCTCCATGAATAGCTAAGTCTTGATTTCTTGCATGTATTTCAACCAGAGGTCAAATTAATTCAACTATCCTTTCTCTCCCCTGATGTGAGGGAAGCCAGCATTGGGCACGGAAGCAGGAGATCCAAGCATGAGGCTCTGCTTCCCCATTTTCTAGTTATGTGCCTTGGACAATTCACTTTACTTCCCTGAGCCTTATTTTCCTCACTATAAAATGGGACCATTCTAACCGTTCAAGGTTATTATAAGGATCAAGCAAAGAGCTATGCATACCTCAGTGTCCATACTTTTAAAACTGTGGTTAAGATACACATAATCTAAAATTCACCATCTTAACCATTTTATGCATACAATTCAGTGGTGTTAAGGGTACTCACATTGTTGCAAATATCGAGAAAACATTTTGTCTTGCAAAAAAAACCTCCACAGCCATTACACAATAATTCTCCACTTTCCCTACCGTCTACCCCCAGCAACCACCGTTCTACTTTCTGTCTCTATGATTTTTTTTTTAAGATTCTATTTATTTATTTGACAGAGAGAGAGAGAGAGAGAGAGACAGCAAGAAAGGGAATACAAGCAGGGGGAGTGGGAGAGGAAGAAGCAGACTTCCCCACTGAGTAGGGAGCCCGATGGGCTCAATCCCAGGACCCTGGGATCATGACCTGAACTGAAGGCAGCAGCTTAACGACTGAGCCACCCAGGCGCCCTTCTGTCTCTATGATTTTGACTACTCCAAGTACCTCATATAAGTGGAATCATACAATAATCGTCTTTTTGTGTCTGGCTTATTTTTCTTAGGATACTGTCCTCAAGTTTCATTCATGTTGTAGCATATGGCAAAATTTTCTCCTTTTTAAGGCTGAATAATAGTATTTGTATATATTTCCCTACATTTGTATGTATCCACCTATTAGATCTATCTATCTAATCTACCACAATTTGCTTATCCATTCATCTTTTGGTGGAGGCTTGTCTTGCTTCCACCTTTTAGGTATTTTAAATAACACTCTTATGAAGATGGATATGCAAATCTTTCTTTGAAACCCTGCTTCCAATGCTTTTGGGTGTTTGCCCAGAAGTAGAATTACTGAGTCATATGGTAATTCCATGTTCATTTTTTTTGAGCAACCACCATACTGTTTCCCATAACAGCTGTACCATCTCACATTACTCCTAACAGTACATAATATTCCAATTGCTCTACCTTCTCGTAACATAGTATTTTTACAGCAGCCATCACAAAGGTGTGATGTGGTCATCAGTTAATATTTTTAAGGGAATGTAAGGATGATTGAAAGGAATATAATGATGATAAGGTCATTTAGCCAAATGAACCATTCAGGCGCCCCACTGATGTCAGTTCTTAAGGAGCCCACTAGCCTGTCCCCTCTTCATGCCATGGTCCCTGCCTCTGAGTCCTCCTCATGCACTGCAATGACCCGTGGTCTCCTCGTTGTCTGTCTGCTTCTACTCTAAGACCCTCCAATCCACCGCTTACCCAGCTATTAGACAAAGTGGATAAAAAAACACACATCTGATCAGGTATGTCCCTTGTTTGAAGTTTTTCAGTGTGGCTTCCCCAAAGCTTTCACATCAATGTAAACTCTTTTGCTTACACATAATGTCTTTCCAAATCCCTACTCTGTTCATTTCGGCCATGATAGCTGGCCCTTCCCCAACATGCTTTCTTCCTTCTGGCCTCATTGAATTAGCCATGTTCTCCCACCTATTCTGCTTTTTCATGCCTGGGCCTTTGAGTGTACTATTTCTTCTGCCTGGAAAGCCCATCTCTCTCCCAAATTCTGTAATTAGCACTTTCCTGCTTATTCACAGTTTAACTCACATCACCTCAAAATGTTCATTGGTTTCCTGCTATGTCTAGGTATGAGGGCTACCACAATGATTAGGTGTTCCTGAACTTCCAGAACTAGTGGAACGAAGGAGAAGACACAACCTGATCACTTTCCTATAGGAGAGACAGTTATCAGATACACAGTGTGACATCTGTGAGAACATGGAGAATGGGTCATGATGCCAGTGGGGGTGCAAAGAAGGCTCCCTAAAGATGACTCAGCTGGAAGAGGCAGGCAAGTGAAGGTGGCAGGAAAGGTGACCCCAATATCAAGAAGAGCAGAAAGAGAGAAGGCTTGACAGTGTGAAGCAGCATGGTGTAGACCGGAATAAGCAAGCCCATGTTGCTGAAGCCCCAGTGTTCAGAGTGGAAGTCTGGAGAAGAAAGTCAAGGGCAAGTCTCCATAAAGTAATTGGGCTTAATCTTCAGAGCTGATGCAGAGCTACTGATGAGTTTGACACAGGGCTGGGACAGACTTTGGCTTATACTTCATGCTTATTAAAGACCAGGAACAAATTAGGAGACAACTCGAAGGGCCAAGTACAAATGATGAAAGATGGGACTTGGGCAGTGTTGGCAGGAATGGAGAAGAGAAATGTGCAGGGGGTGGTATGAGCCAGACCCAGAGAGGGGAGGGAGGACTCCAGGATGATCCCCGGGTTTCTAAATTGGGAGAGAAGATGGATGTTGATCCCTGAAACTAAGACTAAGAACAGAAAGAAGATAAAAGTACTGGGGAAAGATGATCAGCCCAGTTCTGGATGTGGTTTACCTTCTTAGGGAAGCCATCTAACAGGTAGTTAGTTATGTATGAAATCTTTGGGGGGTTAGAAATTTAAATTGGTAGTTATTCATTTCTTGGTGAGCACAAAGCTTAAAAATATGAACCCTGGAGTCCAGCTGCCTAAGTTTAAATTACAATCCTGCCGTTAATTGTCTTTAGGACATTGAGCAAGTGACATAACATCTCTGCATTTGTTGCCTTCTCTGGGATAGTAATTATACCCTACCTCATAGGGTTGTTGTGGTAGGTAGAATGATGGCCCCTTAAAGAAGGCCACATCCTAA